AAGTTTCTTAGGTTAAAACTGAAATAAATACAAGAAGTTTGCTCGCCGGTTTGTTCCTCGTTCTCGTTGGCAAGAGTGTAGAAACAATAATGTTTGGTGATTAGACTGGCTACAGGGCTACAAGGATTTTCCATTGCCAGCATTTCCCACGGGCTCAATATATACACTTTGTACACCATATTCTAGACGCAAAGAGTCGAAACTTTAAAGTATTTCGGATATGTTGAAACTTTCTTTCAAAAGAATTTCATTGCGCCTCTAATTTCGTTGGTTAAGAACTTTTTACATTTTGTCTCAACACTGATTTGCCGCAATAGAGAGTAAAGCCGTAGAAAATTATTTGACATCCAAATGATAGATGTAATTTTGAAACTGAAATTGAAATGGAAACAGTACATTATTCAAAACTATAATGGGAGTGAGACAAATCTATTCGATTAGAGGAATGGCTTCCTGTAGGATTTAGCAATCAGAAGAAAGACCGTACAATAAATCAGATAATCGATATAATGCAAAGCGATGAGGAATATCTAATAAATCGAATGATCGTGCGCTAAGAAGTTAACGGAGGCAGGCTGGCTTGTAGCATACTTTCTATTAGTAAGTTACCTGCGCACTGCTGCATCATAGATAGCAAATAACAATAGCCACGGACGTTAATGAACTCTAAATTCAGTGGATGTTAATTAAAGTTGGTTAACGGTGCCGTGTGTGTTCCGAGCTAGAAAATGTCACCCGGTCCATCTGCAAGTGTCAATAACGTAATGAGACATTGACTCCAAATCAAATTAGCTCCGAAAAAAAAAATGTTCTCTTTCCCTTTTGGTGACGATAAAATCGAAGCTTCATCGATTTATCACTCTCATAGAGGAGACATCGACTCAAAGTTCTTTTATATGAAAAATTATTCTTTTATTCTTTTATTTATTCTTTCATATTTGTGTAATTTTTTTTCGGGAAAAGTCACTTGAGAGAATATCTGAATAAAAATAAGTGAGTATGAGATCGTAAATTTTAAAAGTCACGGAAAAGGTCGTTTGATGTACTCAACACACGGTTTATATGCACAGTCTGTTCTAATCAACCCAGACTTATTGATCGGACGATTTGATTCAATTAAACTTCTCGCTGCTTTCCCATTCCCATTCTCCAATCGACTGCAATCGAGCTATCCATCTGCTCCATTTAGTCTCGTGACCCGAGAGCCATTGGAGATTATAATTAATGCATAAATACAGTCTTAATTAATAAACTACTATCGACAGAGCAGCTAGACAAATTTTGAGCGACGATGCGTTCACCGAACTCCGCCAACGCTCTAGTATTGCTATACAGTAAAAACGGTATGAAATCGTTATCTTAGAAGAAAATACGGAAATACGAAGGAGGTATTAAAAATAGACGTATGGAATAAAAATAATGACCTTCAGTCGTCAGTCGTACCTGATGGTTTTCTCAATAGTCGTCTATTCTCACAGAAGAGCTGTTAAATTACTGGATTCATAGTCTCCAGAGATAAGGAAACTTTAATAGCAATAGCAGGTACGACAGTGCTGATGGTAACGGTACGGGTAGAGAAGTTGAAGTAGAGAAATGAAAACGAGGAGAATGAGAAAGAGCGAGTTTTCCCCCAATCGACTCAGTTAACATCTTTGTCCCGTATTTCAGAGTCCAGCTTGTGAATACATTCATGAGGCGAGGGAAACGGATTGGGAGGGAAAAGAGGGTGTCAGAGGAAGCAAGAGAGGAGGGAAAGTACAAGTTTATAAGATTCTACCTGTAGTCTATTCTACAACTTGAGCATTTGCGAAAAAAAAAGCAATTAGGGAGAAATGATGGAGATATAAAAGTAAGGAGTTCGTCTTTGAGTAACGAGGAGCAGCGCCAGTTCATCTGTGAACGAAAAATTCTATTATTAAGTCAATCGAGCAGCTAGTGCTGTTGCTTGGTAACTGCAAAGTGGTGTTTAGTTGATAATTTAAGAGAAAAAACGACGAGCAAATTGCATCGAAGTAAACTGCAGGCTGTGGATAAAAATTATTTAGCAAAACTCTAGTGCTATTCAAGCCAAATTTCTCGGTGTACGTAGCAAAATCTTCTCGCTTGTAAATAATTATCGAGGGTTCTGGAGTGGTTCTACGGAATTTCTATTTGTGCAATTGCTCTTTGAATAGAGGGGCACTGGTTCATCTGTGAATGACAAGCGATTTTACCAAATAAATGAGTAATTACTGTTATTGTTTGGTATCTGAGGATTGATGAGATCAATTTACCACCGTCGTTATTTCAACCTCGTGGGATGTATTATTTTTTCAAAGCATATATTTGCAATAGCAAACCATGTCATATCGCCGGAGTGATGTAGACTCGCCGTTTAGTTACATACCAAATTTGTTCATAATATCAGTGTACATCCTGTGTAATATAACTATCTGGGGTTTCGCATGTTGAGTGGTAGCTAGTGTAAACGTAACTGAGGGATTATATTCTATCTCACTAAAATGAGCGTCCAGCCTCTCTGGTCTGGCCGATATATGCGTAATCTCTATATGGATTTTCGATTGGAGAGTTAATATCCTGTCGTTGACACACATACGTAAAATCAAGTAAAATTGGTTAATATCATTTTAATAAATTAGCAGATGACAAATAATGGTAATGATAAAGGAAGTTTATAATAAAATACGTTTGAGTGGAAATGGTACTGGTTGTCGTCAGGTGAATACTATTCCATGGACGTATAGTTTGTGATTTTACTTTGAGAGGTTATTGAAATTTCAACGAGGAGCAGGGCATTCTTCGCTGTTTGATCAAATGTTTCCTATCAAATAGAAGCGAAATGTGAGGATAAATTCGAGAATTTTAGCGAAAGCGCAGGTACTTATCATTATTATTTGCAGATTGAAGGATACTCCTGAAATTTATTCATCTACAAAGGTTTAACCGGAAAAAATATCGAAGTTTTAGGGCGATTATTTGACCAATACAAATAGCGTGAAAGCCTGAAGAGATTAAGTTATCGCCCGTGTGTTATCAGTCCATTCCATTCACAATGAAAATTGTCTTTTTTTTTCAGTTGTCTAAGGCATGAGTCAACGGAAAAATTTCCTAAAGCTTCTAATACATCATGACCGACATATTCATTGATTTTTCCATCCAATCCATCATCATCGAATCAGGAGTGAGTTTGGTAGGAGAGAAAAATATTTTCCCCTTTTTTATTAGCAAAAGTAATTGGGTTATTTATTTATTTTCATTGAGATAATTTTGTATCGACGTGTGTCAAGGTATACACCTTGAGGGCACAAAATTTATTGTTAGTGACAAGGAAAGGCGTCGAATGGCAGCTGCTACGAAGAGGAAAGAGAATTCACTCGAGTAGAAACTATGCGGCGAGAAAGAGGTCTCTCTTGCCACTGGCTTGGCTCCTCCGATATTTTCCTCCTGCCCACCCCCTCGATCGCCTCCACGTTCTCATCCCACAACCTCACCTTCTCTCTGTCAAACATCATCAACTTGCCGTCGCAAAACTTATTCACCTCCTCGTCTCACGTATGGCCTCGATATACAACCACTATTTCAAAGGCTTACGTGAACCTCCACGGGGAGAACTTTTCGGTTTGCCACAACGGGTAGACGACCGTGTGCGTTGCAGAGGCGTTCAACAAGAAATAAATAAATGAAAAAAAAATTAGTACCCCCGTAGTTAGGGTATCCCGAGATATTACACGAGATAATATCATACACGCTGTTAAAGCCGCTTTTATCGTTACGACCACCACGTATTCATCCATTTCATAAATATTTCAGCGCATTATTCCACGGCATCTTGACAATTTACTCGTAATGTTCATTACTGGTGGAAAAAATGAAGGTTTATGCATAGCTGGTTAGTGATTTGCAGGAGAGTTTCAGTAAAGTCTACTTTGCAGGAAAGTAATCATGAATTTTCAGAAAAAATTGACGGGATTTTAACTGTATTATTCTGCTGTACACGTTCTATTGAATTTGTACGGAACAATTGAACTGGTAAAATGGTAAAATCTGACAATGGGATTTAACATGTTTCCTAATTATGAACTTTTTCTAGAACTATATCAATTTCCCGAGTGGAAATGATGGTCGGCGAGCCTGAGGTTTGATCAGAACCTGATATGGCGGTGTTCAGTGTCAACTGATCAGGCAGAACTTGATAAGAAACTGATTAGTCTTCGATTTACCCAGCCTGATCCGTACTACTCCGATCAGGTTCTAGTATGGTGAGGTTGATGTGGACCTGAAGTTCGCTCATGTGATCATTCTGATCAAATTCGGATTAGGTGGGCCTGAAGTTAAACTGAGATTCGTCCACCTGCAATGATTTGTATCAGATTCTGATCAAGTCCTGGTCAAGTTGTAGGATCAGTATCTGATTCAACATGAAGTCTGACTTGATCCGAACTTGATCCAGACCTGACCTAATTATTATATACACGTTAAAAATATTGAGGAATTTTTCACAATGGTAAGTGCAAACGAAAAAAATAATTACAATAAGAATTTGAAAATGAAATAATGGAATTCACCCTCTCCGATAAATTACGATCTACCGGTCTGTCCACTCAATCACGACTACTGGCTCCATCGAGAATCTAAAATCACCAAAAGCGTTGAATTTAAATTTCTCCCTTTACGTCTAGACACGGCATGTAAAATATATTTATCGCAAGTTTTTCCAGCCCATTCCAACCGCTATGGAAGATGATAAAACTTTATCGTTTGTAGCCACTCACAAAACTATATGTAGATACAGAACGGCCCTGAGTCGTGCGATTCGTCTTGGTCGGGTCAATATTGACGTGCAAGGTCCCCCTCGGTCAAACGATTATCTCTCGGTTGCTTCACCGGGTTCGAGATAAAACGGATGTCGTTTTCATAATAATGGAAAAATAAAGTAAAATAAACTTATGAGAGAAGCGGGGGAATAGCCACGTAGAAGGATCTCCGAGTAGTCGGATATCTCTCGGAGTGCTTGAGAGGAGAGGAAAGGGAAATATATAAAGTTCTCATACCAGAGGACGATGCGGATTATGAGGTGGGGATTATAAAGACCAATTTCAAACGATAAGGGCACTTTTGTAGTACTCAGAAGGTATTGCATGGCCATGCATGAATTGGAACTGGAAATCACGGGGCGGGAGGAGGAAGGGTCAACAGTGTGTGTGAATATTGGGCTTGCCTCAAGGGAAAAAGTGAGAGTGTGTTGGTGGAATACAGTGAGCCGAGAAAATGAGGCGTGGTGTCTCGCCTTGGGTAGTCGCCTCGGATTTCGGTTTCCGGTTTTGCACTCTTGGTCTCCTCTGCGCGCTCGTGTCATGCATCATGCAGGTGCTCGCGTTCCTGTAGTCCTTTGGCCTGAGTGCAGGATTCAAAAAAACGCGAAGCGAGAGCGAATTAAAATGAAAAATAAACACAAAAAAAAAATCAAAGAATGAAGGGGATGTAGTGGGCGAGAACGAAAAAACATTGGATCAAATGCTATTCAAACAACCCCTGTCAAAATCGTTTGAATTATTGTAATTTTCGGTGTTTGACGTCATTGGAGACGAGAGTGCACTCGAGGGCATGGGCGCACACCAAATGGTGTACAAAACACACACACACACGCACACTCGTCAATCCGCCAGGTGCGCACGCGTGAACATCCAACACTTTGTGCCACGTTAAAATGACCTTTTTTTTGTTGGCTTTTATGAAACGACACATTTCCGCCTGTTCAATTGGCCCTTGGCGTTTGTTAACAAATATTCTTTCAAAAGTGTAATTCGATCGGTAGTTCCCCCACTATATAATTCCGTGTTTATTGTGCATGTGGAATGTAACTATTACAGAGCGGATTTTCGTTCTCATGAATTATCAATGGGGAGAAATTCTCGGTTTTTATTTGTATACGAATTCTTTTGTACCTCGATGCTCTTGCATTGCACTCCTGAATTTGTACCTTAATGACAACAAACACATCCCCACCGATGATGAAGCTATCGATGAGAAATAGCATTAATTATTTGCTAATTCATACGAACCTAATGAATATGCGAAGACTGAAAACATTCTCATTACTTGCGCATGTAAATCAATTCGTCACGATTTATGAATGAACCCACGTACACCACAAGGCAACAGAAAAGAGGACAAAACAATAAACAAGAAGGCATTCCAACGAAACCCACATAAATACATAATAGAGGCTACGCACTGTAAAACAGAAATTGTGTAGTCGTTATGACTCCTTTAATTGTGAATAATGGGAGGTCGTTGGGAGCATGCGGAAATGAGTTGTCTACAAAGCCATCAGATTCTTATCGTCAACCATCACTTTTGCCTACTTCCCTCTATCGTTTGACATTTTTATTCTTTATTTCGCCTTGTTCGGAGGAAATTCGGTCATTTGAGAAGGAGACAGTACAAACGGGTGTTTGAGGGAAAAATAAAAATGAAGGATTCAGTTGAATTGACGCATTCCCGTGTGGTTGATAAAGGATCCCGAAGAGGTAAGTTTATCCCTAGGAGGGCCTGGGCCTTAGGGCTTCACTCGGTCCAGCCGGTATTAGCCTTTTTCCTTCTCTCACAGACTTGCCGCTTATGGTCAGTTCTCCAGTCATTATCGCACTTATTTTCCCTTCGTAAAGCAGTGTTATATATTGGGTCGGGATTCTCTCTTCCCTCGGTCCGTGTATTTGGCTTTCTCTTAACGGTTTGAGAACCACTTTCATCATCCTCATGGCCATCGGGGGCCCAGCCATTACCCGCTCTTCATAATTCTTACCCGTCTCTGTCTTCTCGGTGTGCATCGGTATGACGTTACTCGGTACATTCTCAACACTCTGAATTTTAATTTATTCTGTAAATTACACTGCGCATGCGCTTCGCTATCTCTACTTGAGCGTCTCACGGCGATACCCGGGATTATGGTGTGGAATGCAGGGGGATTCATGATTCATGGAATAAACGTTTCAATAGTTTGAAGAAGCGAGAAAATTACGAAATTACACTGACAGAAAGTTTCACCTCAAATTGCGTGAAATATTCGCAGTTAATGAAGTTGCAAAGAAAATCCAATTTTTTTTTTCTATCAAATTTTGATATTTTCACTAGATTTTCTGCAATCATGAAATTCAATGAGAGGAAATTCAACGAAACCCTTTGATTTCAGCAAAATGTTTCTCTCGTGATTATAATTAAAAACGTACAGAACTTTGAAGACCACTCCTGTGATTCCCATAATTTTATTACAATTTAATGGAGTAAATGTTTGGGAGAGCAACTGCACCTTTCACGAAAATTACAAAATTATTCCCTAGTTTTTCTCATTAAAAAATATTTCCCACAGCAAATGCGCTCATATTCTTCGCTCTGCATATATCCTTTGCAACCGGCCTTGTACGCTCGTTATTCCCGTTGCTTCTGAACTTCACAGACGTTTCGACTTTCCCGCAAGGAATTCCACATTATCTCCAACATCGGGAGATGCAGCATAATGACGACCATTTGCAAATATTTTCCAACATGACTTTTTATTCACGCAATCTGCCGTTTTATATTGCTCCGTCATATTTTATTTATCAGAAGCAGACGATAACACTCACAATCCCGACAAACTACCCCAACAACGCGGACCATGAAAGAATATCGACGTAAAAGTGAGTGAAAAAATCATCGACTATATTTACGAAGAAAGCAATAATAGTTTCACCAAATAAAATCAATAAATATCATGTCACCCGGTTGATGACCACTTGCGATCCTTCAACTTTACCTTCACGAGGAGAACTCGTGGTTGACATTATAGAGATGCGATCAGTGGGCAGTGAAACGCGTCGTTTAGCTCATAAATAATTCGTAGACCAAGTGCTATGTCCAGAACTGTCACAGCTGTTCCTCGTTTGAGACGACTTAGCTTCTGCCTTGGGGTGGAGGAGGAGGCATGACAATTGCCACCCGACGAGACATGACGTGAGAGGCCCGTATGCTACGGGGGAAACTCGGAGAATCGATGAAGGGGAGGAAAATGCCCTTATAACGGGTCAATACCGTTCCTTCGTTGATGGAAAATTACTGGTATCCGAAGAACGAAAGACGATAGACACCTAATTGAATTAATCCCTGAGTTGAGACAATATAACATGAATAAACAGGCTCCTAAAAATAAAGTGTTTTTCTTTTTAAAGAAAAAGCAATTTATTTTAGAATACTATTATATATCCACTCTTCCTTTTATTTTATATTTTCCTCTTCAGGCATTTCCCCTTAATTCTCAGACAGTTTCATTACAATTGCTGATTTATATGGACCTTAACTTCGAAAACTTATTGAATTCGAGGGAAAAAATAGCTAGGATAGATGGGATATTTATAATCGAGAGTTTCTAGAATTGCAGGTTTTCTCTTGGGAGTGAGAAGACTTTTTTGTCTCTGTGACATCACACACCTTTTGGACCGGTCGTTTAATTAACGCTATTAATACCATCACATCGAGAGTTACCGGGATTCTAGTAATAGGTGGGAGAGGTGAGCAAAAGGCAGCAAGGGGATTTACGTGGGACGAAGAGAAGTGGGTTGGACTTGCGTGGCTCGAAAAGTGTCATGAAACGAATGTAAGACTCGTCGAAAAGCTCGATATAGCGATAGTCGTGCTGAGTTGTTTATTAAAAAAATCTTTTTGTTGATAATTTTGATTGGGAACAGTACTGATGCACTCTTAATCAAGACAATTAATGGACGAACGGCGAATTAAAATTACAAAAAGCTCAGAACTCACTCGAGTTATGTCGTTCAGAAATCATTCCCACAAGGACGAGCTTTGATATCGCCCTAGTAGAATAAAAAAAAACACAAAAACACGAGCTGAAATGGACTTATACATGGGTGATTATAACCCATTCAATTCCATCTCTATCGTTTATGACCTCGTCCACGTGGCTGCGTGTCACCCCTCGGTCGACTCCCTCATTTTGGACTAATTGAAGATATCCCGAAATACCAGTGATTTTCAGTTATCACATACCCCTCGTCCCTCCACAGCAATTTACTGAAAAAAAGTGAAATAAACGAACGAGAGATTGACAATGTCATATTATTCATTTGTGATTTCCTGACAGATTTAACGAACCGTATCAATACCCGAAGCTTGGATTTCTCCGGTGTGGAATAAAAATTGATAGCCATTAATTCCATCGAAAAAAGGAATAAATAAACGGCGCTAATGGACTAAAAACCTCTATTGTCTCTCTTTATGGGATGAATAAAAAAAAGGGTCTCAAGTAAACCGACTGGCACGACGTTAATTCGTGTCTTCTCGTTTGTAACGAATTTGGAGAATCATCACTGGTGCGAAACCTACTACTTTTGTTATTGAATTATTTGAATTTCAAATCAGTCGAGTGGTCTCTCGCATTAAGACATTAATGCATGAAAAAAGAAAAATCAAGGGGCGAGATGAAAGAGAATGATGAAAAGAAGGGGAAGAAGAGAGAAAAACATTAACATTATCGTTTAAGGCCTCGATCGTCATGAATTATTTTTATTCCCCAAGATTTTAGGAGTCGGGGTAGCATGAACCCAACGGGGTCGTCGAGCCGCGCGTATCAGAAAAATTATACGCGTGCGAAGAGGGACGGGTAAACCGTCGTATTAAATATGAGCGGCGCATGAATAACCGTGGTAGTGCTCGTATCTTAACGCATTACCTCTTTCCTCCTAACTCTCCCTTCTACCCTCTACCCACCCTCTGCCATTCATTCTGTCCCCCTCTCGCACTCGTTCTCTCATTTGACGTTCCATACCCCCTTGGTTTTTACACATACATATTCATGCATCTTGCTGGGGCTCTCAACTATATATAGCGAATGGCGAGCGCGTCCTGCAGGATGTTACACTCTTGGATCTTGGGAGCTCTCGTGATGCACGCGGGAATGACACCGGAATAGGATAGAGACACTACAACACTATCTGCACACGGAAGATGGAGTGAGATGAAAAAATATTATGATGAAACCACTTTTTTTTTACCCGTTGTATTTCGTTGAATTTTTCTGAG